ACCTCCTTGTCCTTTCGTGGTTGGCTTGGGGGGGCGGCTCTCCCTCCTTAGTCCAAAGAGCTGCAGATCAAGAAGCAGTTCCAGGACACCTGCAAGATCCAGACCCGGCAGTACAAGGCGCTGCGGAACCACCTGCTGGAGACCACGCCCAAGAGCGAGCACAAGGCGGTCCTCAAGCGGCTCAAGGAGGAGCAGACACGCAAGCTGGCCATCTTGGCGGAGCAGTACGACCACAGCATCAACGAGATGCTCTCCACCCAAGCAGTGAGAGCGAGAGAGAGAGAGAGACCCCCACCCTTCGCACCCTCTAGGCTGCTTTTTCTTCTTCTAAGGGGGTGGGATCAGCTTTAGGAAACCGCTCCTCCCCTTGGGGTGAAGGGCAAGCCCAGGGCAAGCGTCCGGGGGCCTCCCTGGACCAGTGTGGGGCAGGGGTTGGAATGAGACCTCCTGCTTGGGTGGGTCCTCGTCCCCCACCCCACTCCCGGCCACGTCCCGAGGGTCAGACGATCTCTGTCTCCCCCCCTCCTGTCTTACCCCACAGGGCCGTCATGAGGGGAACATGGGGAGGAGGGGCGCTTATGCCAGAGATGAGAGACCTCTTTAATTTTGTTTTCAATCCAGCTCCGGCTGGACGAGGCGCAGGAAGCGGAGTGCCAGGTCCTGAAGATGCAGCTGCAGCAGGAACTGGAGCTTCTGAATGCCTACCAGAGCAAGATCAAGATGCAGGCGGAGGCCCAGCACGACCGGGAGCTGCGGGAACTAGAGCAGCGCGTCTCCCTGCGCAGGGCCCTCCTGGAGCAGAAGGTGCGGAGGGGCGGCGGGACAGGAAAGAAAGAAGGGGAGGGAAGGGTTAGGGTTCCAAAATGGGCCTCGGTCCTGCCTCGTGTGGGGTCTCCCTCCTTTTCGCACAGTGTTGTTCACAAGCGCCGGCTGTGCAGAGTTCTGGGTTTGCCGAACAGCAAGGCAGGTGGAAGGAGGTGTAAAGAGGGCCGCTGGCGGCAAGCAAGCCCTGTGAGGAATGAGGGCCTGGGGGTCCCCCTCTGGTGGTTCCTTGGAGGTTGAGAAAGCTAGGTGGCCTGGGGGACCTTAGTGGGGGGTGGTTCCACACACACATACACACCGAAAAAGTGGTGATGTCCCCAAGCTCTGCCGGGTCCGTTGAAAGAGGGGTCCCTCTTGGGGTCTTCCGGGCTGCGATCTGCCTGGATCTCCAGCCTGCCAACGCCCTCCCTGCAGGCGCCAGCATTTAGGGAGGAAACCCCCTGCAGCAAAGGTTCCGTGCCCGTCTCCCGGCACCCCACGCCCCTGACCCTTCAGAGCCACCCTGGGCCCCCTGTCCCCAGAGCGGGAGCCCCTGGTCGCTGCCTCTGTGCTGAGGCAGCAAAAGCTCGAAAGTCCTGGGGGGGGGGGTGTCGTTTCTCCTTCCCCGGCCTCTGCGCAGTCTCTGCTGCCCCCTGCTGGCCTCTCCTGGCGCAGCTGGCCATAAGAACACCCGCTCAGTCCCACTTGGGTGAACGGCCCTCCGGAGGAACCAAGTGTGGCGTTGAGCAGAACGTGGCCTGTCTTGTCCTGCACCTGGCAAGACAAGTGGGAAAATAAAGAGGGGCCATTCCGAGATCCAACATTCCCCCCCCCTCAAAAAAAATGTTCATCATTCTGAGATGGACAGCGCAGGCGGGCCATTGTGCTAAGACCAAGGGCAAATCCTGCAGCAGAGGGGTTTGTGCCATGACCCCCAACGCTCACTGGGTGGGTAGAATGACCCATCGGACCGAGGCCTCTGCTTCGCCAAGGGTGGGAGCAGAGCTGGTGCCGCCTCTTCTCAGCAGGACGGAAACGGCTTTCTGCTCATCCGGCCAGACGTTGGCCTTCGTTTTTAATTGTTAAATTGGGGGAGGAGGGGGCTGGCAGGGATTTCAAAGTTTGGCTTCGTGTGTTTCTTGTCGAGCCAAAGTAGGTTAAATTGGAGCAGGAAGTGTTTATCTGGCTTGGGATCCTCCGGGACCCACACAGGCCGTCAAAAATGCCCCCAAGGGAAAACAATTAAACTGGAAGTGGCCTACAATCTGCTTCTGGTTTCAAAATCTTGGTGGGTTTGGGAATCAAATGGTAGAGCGGGGCCTGCAGGTTATTTGAAAGCCGAGTCCCTGCTCTGGGAGGCTTCTGGGAGCAGTGGAATAACACTCCCTTCCCACCCACCCCAGGGGGAAAAAATTTGGGTGGGGGGGTCACGAGTAGGTCTTGTGAGTTTGTGCAAAAGCAACCCTACCTCAGTGGGCCCCACTTTGACACCCTCACTGGCTCCTTCCTGTCTTGAATCAGGAAGGATCAGGAATCGAGCGCGCATCCTTTCTGCCCCCCCCCGGTTCTAAAGCCCTCCCCCTGTTTCTTTCCTGGCCAGATCGAGGAAGAGATGCTCGCCTTGCAGAACGAGCGCACCGAGCGGATCCGGAGCCTGCTGGAGCGCCAGGCGCGGGAGATCGAGGCCTTCGACTCGGAGAGCATGCGGCTGGGCTTCAGCAACATGGTCCTCTCGAACCTCTCCCCGGAGGCCTTCAGCCACAGCTACCCGGGTGCCTCCAGCTGGTCCCATCATCCCTCCGGGGCGGCCGGGCCACACTGGGGGAGTCACCCCGTGAGCGCCCCGCCCCAAGCCTGGGGCCACCCGATGCAAGGCGGCCCCCAGCCGTGGGGCCACCCCTCGGCGCCCATGCAGGGGGTGCCCCGGGGGGGCTCTCTCGGGGTCCGCAACAGCCCCCAGGCGTTAAGGCGGACGGCTTCAGGGGGGCGGACGGAGCCGGGCATGAGCCGAAGCACCAGCGTCACCTCGCAGATCTCCAATGGGTCGCATATGTCTTACACATAATCGTGCAGCCAAGCCTCTAATGCCCCCGCCTGCCTGCCCGCCCGCCCCCCCCACCGCCAAGGGTGGTGGTGGTGGTGGAGGGTCGCGGCTCCCCTGGAGCAGCCTGCCAACAGGAACGGCCGACAGACAGACAGCCCCTCCCAGCACGGACTCTGGGCGCCCGACTGACCGACCGACCGACCGGCTGGTGTGCGTTTGTTTTTGAAAGCGTTCCGTTCGGGTTTTTTTCTAATTGAGATGTCATAGTATTTAGTTGGGCTTGGGGCACGGCAAAGTTACTGGTGCATTTTTAGAAGGCAGCTCTTTGAGTGGCGACGGCAGTAAGAATCGGGGCCTTCCTTTCTTCAGCTGTTTTGTCCAGCTCGCTTGCCCTCTGTCTCTCTGCTGGAGCGCCGAAGAGAAAGGGCCGCCCGTGGGTGGGTGTTTGGGGGAAAGCAGGCTCCTCTCGGCCGCCGCTCTGCACAGCCCCCCCCCGCCCTGGCCCACCCCTACGTTCTCTATTGCACTAAGAGGTGACGCCTCCGGAGTTTAGGGTGCACGCGGTCACTCGGACGAAACTGCACTAGTGAAGCGCCACCTGCCCTCAGACCCTGTTGGCTGTTCAGCCCCAACCGGCTGTGGGGTGCATGGGTGAGCCCGAGTATGTGTGTGTGTGTCTGTGGTTGTGGAAGGGGAAGAGGCGAGGGGGCCGAGGGGCGGGAAGAGAGACGTGCCCTTTTCTGGCTTGATACTGTGACATCTCATTCTAGATAAGTGTCAGAACACCCTC